AGGAGGGAACGGGTTATCCTGAACAAGGCGGCTGGGCGCGACTTAGCGGAAGCAATCAGAGAGGCAATGTATGTTCTTCTTGTCGTCCTAACTGCCCGGATGTAAACTCTGATGCTGGATGTTAAAAGTGCTCGGTCTGACTCGGACTTACTGGATCTCCAGCGGTGCTCTAGGCGTCTCTTACGGCGCTTCATCTCCCAGAGTTCCTCAGTAAACCAAGGGGCCCTCCTGGATCCACTGCCTCGGATCGGCCGTAAAGGTGCAATCCGGTTAAGAGCCTCTGTCGCTGCTGAATTCCAGGCAGCAACCAGAGTCTCCGCCGGACTGCGGATATAATATCATGATGAAATATTGGCAGCTATTACAGCTCCACTGTGCCCAAATAGCATACCTGTTTAGACTTCCACGTCCTGTCCTTTAATGCTACAGGTAGGATTGAGCCTTAAGGCAGCAATCCTATAGAGGGAGGCAAAGTGGGCGGAGACTAAGATTGAGAGAGAGATGGGGGGAGAGAGCGTTTGTGAGTTTGCTCTGGTGGTATGGAATATCAGTGGAGGATTCAGAAGGCCTTTAATCCAGAGGATCCAGAACTTTGCTGACTCCCAACTCAAAAATGGCAAATATCATGCCAATCCTATCACAGGCAATCTTTCTTTTTCTTTTTAATATCAAGCTTGTGGTAATGTAGGGGGCGCGCGCCAGCAGTTAAAGACACTGAGCTTGTCTGCTGGAAAGCTGACAGCCCGGGTTCGAGATCTGAGCACCATGCAACATTGTGAGCTCCCATTCCTGCCCCAGCTCCTGCCCATCTAGCAGTTTGAAAGCATGCAAATCCGAGTACAATTAACAGGTACCACTTCGGTGGGAAGATACTAGTTTTCCATGCACCTTTGGTGTATAGCCCTTATGGTCACATGACCACAGAAGATGTCTTCAGGCAACACTGGCTCCTTTGCCCAAAAAAAGGAGATGAGCACCTCACCCTAGAGTTGGACATGACTGGACAAGGAAACTTTTACCTTTTTTCTAATGTCAAAAAGAGTTTAACAAAGCTGAATTGTAGGTGAAAAGATGCTTCCTTCTACATTGGCAAAGCTCAAAAGCTACTGATTATTCTTATTGGGATTCTGTCTCTCCAGACCCTTAAGGTTGTTTTGATTACCTACACTAGCTTACCTGAACATTAAATCTTGATTCATGTGATATTATAGCAGCCTGGGAAATACACCCCATTGCTTCAGAGTGTTGGCTGCTACAACAATGGTTGGAAAAAGAATTTTGTAGAAAGGTCTAGTTCTTTTTCATAGAAATATCACCAAGAAAATGATTCTGAAGTTAAAAAAAATCTTAGGCTAATGTAAATTTATCTTTTGATTCTTTTCATTAGTACCATAAGAAATACGTATATGGAACTTGCCAAAAAAATTAATACAAATGTCATTTTATTGCAACAGCAGAGAAGTCAAATAAATAAATAAATATTACCAATAATCTATATTATTGGGTTAAGGTATTCAAGTATTTCCCATTTCCAAATATCTCTGAATATTTTGGCCAAATTCCATGTTATATCTTCCCAGAAAGACCAAATAGCTGACCAGAAGGCATGGCAAAGGAAGACAAAGCAGAAGCACATCTAAGATAAATTGTGCTAATCCAGACCAAGAGCTTCCAGCCAAGAAATCAAATGAGAACACAAGGGAGTATGGGTAAACAGAAATGTTGCACCAACAACATACTGGCAGCAACTTAGCCATTTATTTAGCTGCCCTTATTCTCCAAATGTTCCTGGAGTATCAGCAGGATCCTGAGCCAGAACACAAGCTGATTCTTATTTCCTTTTTAAAGGAGAACTAAGCAATAGGAAGCTTGTGTTACTGTGAGGCACTGTGGGAATCAGATGGAGGAGGATTGCAATGGGTTCAGGGGGTGGGTCAATGGGAAGGAAATGTTTCAAAGAACCTCTGCCTTAATTATTTTGCTTGCCTGGGAACTTACCAAGTCTTGAACAGTCTTCAAGGTTGTTTTTATCCCTAGTATTAAAGACACCTTTCTGAAATCTCTATCATTCTTGGATCTTGGGTTAGCTAGCTATTGGAGCTTATCAGCTAACAATAGTGTGATGCAGCTTCTCATTTGGTCCTCATTTGGTCTTGCTACCATCTTTAACTCTGGGATTCTAGTAAGGTGTGAGTCCAATTGAGGACATTTCATTCCCTGGCCCTACAGCTTTGCTTTGGCGATTCTCCAGGGTGATAAATTCAGGATGTCTCTTTAGGTATACTGTTCCTTCCTGTTTCTGGAATCAAATTTTGCTTTCCTACATCTAAATGTGAGCAGTGACTAGCAAGCAGGTACTGGAGTGCATAACACTAGAAAGCAAAATCACAAAACTGTGTCTCACTTACTTTGGCCATGTAATGCGGGGGAATTCACTGGAGAAAGCAATTATGTTTGGAAGAGTTAGTGGTAAAAGAAAACCCAGCCATCAAAGAACATAATGGCTGGACACTATCAAAGCTGACATCAGGCAGAGCATGGAAACACTCAAAGAAATAGTGCAAGATCAGAAGATGTGGAGTGACCTGGCCCAAAAAATTGCCACGAGTTAGACTCAACTGAATGGATAACATCATCATCAAATATGAGCAAGGAAATGAAACTTATAAAACTGTTTTTGAGGACAGAACCTATATTAAAGTAGATTAATTATGTACCATCAAGTCAATGTTGACTCTCAGCAGTCACTTAGAAGAGCCGAGGTGGCGCGGTGGTTAGGGTGCAGTACTGCAGGCTACTTCAGCTGACTGTTATCTGCAGTTCAGCGGTTCTAATCTCACCGGCTCAAGGTTGACTCAGCCTTCCATCCTTCCATCCTTCCGAGGTGGGTGAAATGAGGACCCAGACTGTGGGGGCAATATGCTGACTCTGTAAACCGCTTAGAGAGGCCTGAAAGCCCTATGAAGTGGTATATAAGTCTAACTGCTATTGCTAACTGCTATATACCTTATTTTTCAGATTATAAAATGCACCATTTTTCCTCAAAACTGGCTGAAAATCAGGGTGCTATACACTGAATACAGCATTTTTGCCTCCTGAAGCTCCGCCCCTTCACCAAAATGGCCATGCATACCCTTATGGAGGCTTTCAGAGAGCTCCTGGGGGCAGAAATGAGCCCCCAGGAACACTCTGCAAGCCCCCCCAAAGCTATTCATGCCTTCTTTTCTTTCTTTTTTTTTGAAAAAAATGGTTCCGTTTTCACGAAAAATGGGCTGTTTTGGGGAGGTTTCCAGAGTGCAAAAACTTTTTTTCCCTTTTGGAAAGCTCTTTAACTGATAGATGAAAATTACATTGATCAAGTGCTGTGCCAACAGAAGCACCTACCTATCTACTGTATTTCTCTCTCTCTTTCTCTCTATTTCTTTCTTTGTCCCTCTACCTATCTACCTACACACTCTCTCTCTATCTCTCTCTATTTCTCTCTCTCTTTCTTTATCCCCTTACCTACCAACCTACCTACTGTCTCTCCCTCCCTCCCTATCTACTGTATTTCTTTCTATCTCTTTCTATTTCTTTCTCTCTATCCCTCTACCTACCTACCTGCCTACCCTCTCTCTATCTCTTTCTATTATTTTCTCTCTCCCCCCCCTTTACCTACCTACCTAACTACTCTCTCTCTCCCTACCTACATCTCTCTATTTCTCTCTCTCTTCTCTCCCTGTCTATCCCTCTATCTACCTACCTACTTTTTTAAAAAATTTGCCTCTTCAAAACCTTAGTGCGTCTTATACTCAGGTGCGTCTTATACTCTGAAAAATACGGTACTTTCTCCGGGATGATCAGCCCCCAAACTGGTCTTTTACATCTTTTAACAGTGCACTCATTGCCATTGTAATTGTATCCATCTATGCCTATGACCAGGAATCTACTCAACTAACAGCGCTATATTCACACTAGATAAGGGTTAACAGAATTCAAAGGGTGGGCTGGACTTAGTCTGTTTGTTTCTACATAGAGATTCTAAGCCAATTCCTCTTTTGACTCTACCCCCAGGTTCTGCCAATCCTTCTACATTATCCTCATTTTCTGTTTACTTTCTCTGTTCGCACTTTTCTCAGGGTCTTTGCATAACATGTCCACATTTTAATGAGGGCATTTGTGCTTGTGTAAAAACAATGAATTGATTTTTCCATGATCCCAAAGTAATATTATATTCATTTTAACTCACTGCTTACTACCTGTGTCCCAGGTATTAGGCAAAATGTTATCCAAACTGAACTTGAACATTGTTAGTCATGCTAGGCAAAATTGTTACGGTAGTTATTCTTAAAGATGTCTTTACAAGAGGAGAATTTTGTTGTGAAAACAAATCAATATTATTACTTGTTTATTTCTGGATACAGACTGTTCTAATCTCTGAAGCACAACCAACATTCAGTGCCTGCCATGACGGTCAGCTTGCATTAAGTATAAAATCAAAGAAGTCTATTATGTGTGACTGGTTGAGCTGAAGAAGGCAAAGTGAACTGTCCAGTCCCAAAAATGTTTATGGGAAAGGAACACATGTGTAGGAGTGGCGTGCTTAAGATCAAAGCAGAATTGCATTGAGTGGGATGAGGAACTAGAATATTGCTTGTTTAGCTATAAGGTTTTTAGTTTCCTTTGAGACTGTTGTTACCTGCACAAATACTGATAGGTAATTTTAGGAATGAAAGGTGGGCGTGAGATGTCTGCTGTTTTCAATAATTTGGGGATATATTTCTGAAACTTTTCCTATTCAACCCTGGTAGAGCATATTTTGGATATACTGTTTGTTTTCACACACATAGCAGTGGCAGTCTTTATTTAGCATTGGTAGAACAAGAATCAGCTGGAAATCCCAATTTATACCAATGGAGCCAAGTGGAAAAGGCATAGAATTGAAGCATTATTTCTTTTGACTTCCTGAACTGAATGGGGCTCATTGTCCCTCTGAACAAAAATGTACTTAGTATCGTTCCAGATTTTCTACATTTCTGCTATACAATTTGGGGAACTGATGTTGTCATATTCTATTTTGGTTTCTTCTGCTCTTAAATGAAATGATTGACCAGTGAGACTCAGATTTGCTAAGTTTTGTTCTCTGCCTTTAAGTAGCATTTCATTTTATTTTGGTTTTTTAGGAGACTGTTGGCTTCTAGCAGCCATTGCTTCTCTCACCTTGAATGAAGAAATTTTGGCTCGGGTGGTTCCCAGTGATCAAAGTTTCCAAGACAGTTATGCAGGAATCTTCCACTTCCAGGTATCAAAGAGTCTTCTCTGCTTTTCTGCTGTTCACTGGGAAAGTTTACAGGAAGAACAGGCCCTTCTAGATATAATTTGTCCCCAGGAAGGTCATGGTGCTTTCATAACACTTTCTTAGCAGTGCTTTTCAAGTAATTCCCCACTTAAATTTAAATTTTCTGGAAATGTTGAAGACATGAGGTGGAAGAGGAAGGTAAAATTCTAAAAAATGTTGTAACATCAATATAATGTTTTGCAAAATGTAGCCTAAATAAAACTAGTGTGATAGATACTTATGTATAGATATTTAGTCAAGGCTAGTGACATGAACTGGAGCCATGCTGTTGATCAGCAAAACTGGTTTGAAGTTTTGGAGTAGTATAACATAAATAAAATTAATTCAGATTTGATACAAAAATCACTATCTTAATATACACATAGTAATTATAGTAATAGCAAGCATAAAGAAAAATATACATGGTAAAATCTGTCAACAGTGTAATAGTTACGGGAGGATGTGGGTACTCTATCTGGAGGTTTTAAGAAAAGCATAGACAGCCACATCTCCTGAATGGCTTAACTAGATGATGCTTGTAGTTCTTTCCATCTCCACAGTTCTATAGTTATATATTTCAATTGTTCTTGAATTGTTCCTTGCCAAAGCAATCTTCCCAGCCTCCAGAATTTCCAACCAGCATTGTTAACCTAGAGCATGGCTATAGTTCATGTTCATTGAGCCTTGAGTAAATTGTTTTCTTTCCCCTTTCAGTTCTGGCAGTATGGAGAGTGGACAGATGTTGTTGTTGATGATCGATTGCCAACCAAAAATGGAGACCTACTTTTTGTTCACTCAGCAGAGAAAAATGAATTCTGGAGTGCCCTACTGGAGAAGGCCTATGCCAAGTAAGTGAAGATTGAGAACATTCTGCTGCTTCATGAAAACTGTATAAGTCTTCTCTTGTTTTATACTGGATTTGTTTCCCATAAGTGAAACACAAAGCTAGGGTATGACATGGTGGACAGGTTTATGACTCTTAAGAACTATTTAACATGTTTTAACCCCAAATCTGGTAGCTTGAACCTGGCTGAAAATAACAAATTTAGAATGAAAGAATTCAGAGCCTAGAAATTTGTTTTAACAGAACTACTAAAAAGGGTTCATAATCCTTACACACAATTGTATTTCTAAATTCTCCCATACCCTTAATGCTTTGGTAGCTATCTATTGTTTCTCCTGTTAACATTTTGCAACTCTCCTGATAGTACATTTAAATAATACGTTTCAAGATAGTAATAAAAGCAATGTATTCAATATCCATTAATATCCATTAATATTTTTCCTTGACTTAAAGAAACAAGTAGGTAAGCATGGCTGCATAAAAGAAAGAAAAAGACCAAAACCAATATAAATTAAATGACAAGATACCCATGTGGGCAATTCCTAGACACGCAATTGAAAATATGAATATAGCACAGAAACAGGATAGAATTACTTAGTTAGTAAGATAGGAAAGAGGTCACATTTTCCTCTTTGGGAAAAGAAAAAGTAAAAACTGCCTACCTCAGTTGAATGTTTGAATGTTTGAATGTTTG